CATTTGTTTTAAGAGATAGAATTAGCATTGGCGGGTGACTAAAATGTCAGAATAGAATCATCTCCAGAACTGGCAGATGCAGATCAGAAGAAAACAGTAGGATTGACCGGGTGCAGTGGCCCATGCTTGTAATCACAGCACTTTAGGAGGCTGAGGCAGGCGGATCACCTGAGGTCAGGAGTTCAAGACCAGCCTGGCTAACATGGTGAAACCCCGTTTCTGCCAAAAATACAAAAAGTTAGCCGGGTGTGGTGGTACACATCTGTAATCTCGGCTACTCCGGAGGCTGAGGCAGGAGAATCGCTTGAACCCAGGAGGTGGAGGTTGCAGTGAGCTGTGATCATGCCATTGTACTCCAGCTTGGGCAACAAGAGCAAAACTCTGTCTAAAAAAAAAAAGAAGAAAGAAAAAAGAAAAGAAAAGCTATAGGATTTTGCATTGTTTGCTTTCGTTTGAGTTGGAATTCAAGTAATATTTTGACTCTGTAGTATTACAAGATCGCTTCTTGGCCTTTTAGGTAAGTTTAAGTGAATACTATTACAGGAACATGAAAATGTCCCATTGTATTACCCTAGTCCATGTGGCTTTGGCATTATGGTCATTTATCCTTTCATTATTGCAACTTCTGTTGGAAAGAGAATTGTGGAATACTCCACATAACTGTGCTTTTGTATAAGGTTGATCCTGTGCTCCTTAGGCTCCTATTTCCTCATGGCTTACACTTTTTCCATGGAAATGCAGCTCTGTCACTGTCATAGCAAACAGTGGTAGCTGGCCTTGCCACCAGCTAGATTTGGCTAGATGGAAACCTGGATATAAATTTCTAGTTATTCTGAAATAGATGCTCTTATTTTTCAGAGACTTTTTAGACTTTTTGCATTGTCTGTTTAATTTTTGAAACAACATGGTAGTCCTCCAGGAAATATTTTCTATATGGTGTTTATAGATGGTCAACTGCTAAGTAACCCTTTAGAGCCTTCTCAAAATTAGATATCTGGAGTCATCATTTGTAATCATCCTTCACGCATGCAAAAACCAAGAAAGCAATGCCCCAAGAAGCAACCCTTAGTAGAGGTTAGTATGGCAGATTTCTCAACCTCTCTTTTGGAATTGTATTTTTTCTTGTCTTTCTTTGATTAGAAAACCTCATCTATCTCCTCTCCCTACCATAATTGGGAGATTCTCACCTGTGTCCAAGGAAATGGGTATCTCTTTGTCTCTTTCCCTCCTATTTTAGGAATTGCTAATCAAGAGCATTGTTGGGCGTGGCTATCTGTAGGCTATCTCATGAAAGCAATGGAGATATGATTGCAAATATGAAATTATTGTTCAAACCACATTTACTTCCCTCTCATTCCTCAGAAATCAGTTCTCATTTGCCTTGCCTATAGAGCATCCCTGAATTTTACAGTGTGTGAGAAAAAAACCTGAAGTAAAAAGACAACTCTATCCCTTTTTGCCTGTATATTCTATAGCAGTAGATATTTTATTCTCTGTAAAGTATCAGATAGTAAATACTTTCAGCATTTTCTCTGTCAACACACCTACTCAACTGTGCTATTGTAGAGGGAAGCAGCCGCAGGCAATATCTCAACAAAAAGTCCTGGTCATGTGCAAGTAAAACTTTATTTACAGAAGATGGTTGGCCAGCCATAGTTTACCACCTCGTGAACTATAGCAAGGAAACCTGCAAACCTCAATTTCCTCTTCTGAAACATGAGGGAACTGAATATATGAGCATGACCTTTCTACCTTATAGAGTTCTTGCAAAGCGCATATTAAATTATACATGTGAGATCACTTTTAAACTGTTAGGCCCTGTGCCATGGTATTTATAATAATTACAGATAGCAACATCTTATTCATTCTTCCTGCAAAGTATTTTTTATTCACTTGTTTTTTGAGCAAAATATACCTTAAGAAAATGGAGCCCTTCATTGAAGTTTTATCACAAACATATTCCCAGCATCTACCACACATTCAGACACATACTGGATACTTAGGAATCACTTGCTGAATGAACAAACTGGCCCCTTCAGTAGAGGTTAACTTGTCAGGTCCTTTAACTTTTCCACTTACATTATATAATAGCAGCTACTTGAATTCGTAAGATATGTTCTCAATAGGTACCCATAACACATCAATGTATAAAGCAAAGTTTAACAAGTACTGCCAGATGAATATTCTAGCCTGTTTAGGTATAACGGGTGGCCTTATCTCTTTAGAAGTGATTTCATGAATTCTAGTTTTCACTGCTGTAACTTTCAGAGAACAATCACAGTAAATGTCTGCCCCACAATTGGGCATGAGGTTTTTGTTTTGTTTCTGTTGAGCAGTTGCTCATTTCTATCTCTAGGACTCAGGCATTGACTTGAATGTGGAACACACTTCGAATATGGTCAAAGATTAAAGAACAGTTGGCCTAGTAGTGGGACTGAGAGATGGTCGCTGGACGGCCTGTAGCAAGCATGATTTTGAAACTATTTTTCTCTGGAATTTTTATGTACTTGCCCTCCCTTTTCCTTTGAGGATGATGGTGCTATGCGATGAAAACTGACAAACATACAAGAAAACTCTAATGGAGTAGACCGGCAGTTGTTTTTCTTAAGGACAATTTTGGAGTCACAGAAGCTCATGGAAGTAGCTACCAGCATGTAGAATGCTGCCCATGAAGCAAGAAGGTGGGAATGACTCACAGCCATATGTTGTGAACAGCCAGAGAATTTATGGACAGAAGTATTTACTATGCAAGATTTTAAATTATCAGTAGAGCATAAGATATAAAATGTTTCCACTTTTAATTTGGAGGTTGAAGAATATTTGTTGTTGTGATGGTTGTTTCCAGAAACTTTGTTGAAATCTTCATGCCCAAATGAATATGTGGTTGTCCTGAGTGATATAGTTCATGAGAGCATAAATCAGGAGTAAGAGGTACCACATTTAGCATATCTGAGCAGTGGGGCTATAGCATCAAGGGTTGTGAAGGAGCTGGTATCACTGCAGGTTTAATCAAGTGATTTGATAAGCTGCTATACATCTTCCCTTGTCATTTATCTAATCAGAATAAGCTAACAAGAGTGAACAGAATTTGGAAAAAGGATTTTCGATTCCCTGAAACAGCAGTCATTAACCCCACAGTAAATTAGAATGCTTTTCAATTTAATGAGCCAGATTGCCCTTCTTTTCATTAAGTTGAATAAATCAGAAGAGCTGTTACTTAAAGTTGTAGATCTTTAATTTTTCTTGATGAAACCTATATGAATTTTTACATCATTGATGACAGCTTCTGTTGACAACATGAAATAATTTTGGAAGCTGTCTTTCTTTTCCCTTCTGGGTATTATCCTATTCCAGAATTTGATATTTACACCTAAAGCAATCAGGGAAAAAAAGCAAGTTCTGGGACAGAATCAGATATTTTGGAGCCTTTTTTTGCAAGCCTCCCTTTTAGATTATACATTTATATAACCAGCTATATTTTATGTATACGTATGGGTACATATATAAACACAAATAAATACACAAACACATAATATACATGCATATACACATACATATATGAATAAGTATATGTAATATAATACACACAAAACATAATATATCATAATTTTTATATTCTTTTAAAAATAATGACAATATGCAAATTATCCAGGTCAGTTTTATTTTAATCCAGTCTACTTATACTCTTTCTTCCACCAAAATGCAATTCTCTCAAAAGGAATTTTCAACCCATTTTTATCTTTTGTTTACTTTTATTTCCTTTAGAGGGGCTTATGGCTGGCCAGAGCCTTTGTAAATAATGTAATACCACTCACTTTGTCACCAGCTTTAGAAATAAACACAAATGAGAAGGACATGAAAAAGACACATGGAAAGAAATGAATACATGGTTTTAAGTGAGTTGAGAACATTTTATTTTGGCCTGTTTCTCCCCTTCATGCCACCTTTATGTTGAATAACAAACGTTTTATCTGCACTGCATTTTACACATTCAAGCAAAACTCAGTTTACAAACTTCACTAAAGATTCCTGCATACAGGACTCTTAACCATTACCAGACTTTTTTTTTTTTTTTTTGGTATATTATCTTAAAGCTGTTTTTAATAATGGATATAAGTTAGACAATTTGGATGTTATTTCCATGTGTGTGTTTATTGATTGCTGTAGCTGATCATGTGAATACATCAGATCATGGCTGCATTGAAACTGGCCTTGGAATAGACAGCAAAAGGGATATTGCCTGTATGGATCTTCTGTTACCATTTCTCAGCGTGTGCTTCTGTAGAGCTCGGGGCCGAGGCTGCACACACCTTGAGCACCTTATTGTGCATCCTCATTGCCCCACGACTGTTTCATTTTCTTCCTTGGGAGGCTTCTCTCCTCCACCTTCTCCATCACTCACTCCCCTTTGGGGTAGACTTGAGAGTACTGAATACCTACTGAGGAATATGTGTTTTTCATGTAGCACTCCCATTCTTTATGGCTTTAGGACATACACCTTGCTTCAAGAGCACAGGAACCACTTTGGAATTAGAAGCATTTCTAGTTGCTGTGTTTACCTTTTAAGTTTGCCACAGAAAATGCCAGTTTCCAATTATTATGATAAAAATGGAACTTCCTCTGGTGGTGGATATTTTGTTCAGCATCCACAGTAAATCTGACTTTTTAGTTTGATTAAATAATGAGCCCCAATCTAATTATACGTGGCTTCTTAGGCCTGCACTCTAATCAGTAAGAATTCAAGTCTTACAGACAATAATCTAGTTAAAGCTTTTAAACATTTGGAGAGATATCCCGATTCTGTCCAGAGTTATTCTTATATTGGTAAGTGATATGTGTACCAAGATTTGTTTTACCCCCAAAACAGATCCCCAGTGGGAATAGTCCTTTAAAATGGCAGCTTAACAGCATATCCAAGTTGCACATATTATTAGAATCTGCTTTTCTTTGTGCAGTATGTGTTGTTGACATGTGCTGATGTGGGATGTTTCTTTCCACAGAAGTGGGTGGATGGAGGCCTCACCAACAGTCTTCCCATCCTGCCCGTTGGCCGGACAGTGACCATCTCCCCCTTCAGTGGACGACTGGACATCTCCCCACAGGACAAAGGGTGTCTGGATCTGTATGTTAATATCGCCAAGCAGGATATCATGGTGAGTAATTATGTTCAGTGGTATTTGAAAAGTCCTGATCTACTAAAAATTCCCATGGAATTCAACGTGTTTCCTAAGCACGGGAAGCTTATTGATAATTGTAGGTAGGAGTTTCATCTTCTCCATACTGTGTTGTTTAATACTTTACAACGTGTATCAGGCATTGAGACTTGGGCTCCTATGGACTGTCAGCATTAAGTCTTTTTGCTGCTTTTATTTATTTTTTTATTTTTATTTTTATCATCCCTCCTACCTTAGCCTCCCAAGCAGCTGGGGCTATAGATGTGCATCACCATGCAGAGCTAATTTTTTTAATCTTTTGTAGAGATAAGGTTTCACTAGGTTGCCCAGGCTGGTTTCAAACTCCCTGGTTCAAGTGATTCTTCCACCTTGGCTTCCCAAAGCACTGGGATTATATACATGCACCATGTCTGCCATTTTTGCTGCTTATTAACTGTCACTTCTTTTTCTCCACTTATTTTTCACATCAATAAACTTGGTAGGATATCAGAGAAATTTTTTTTCTTTGAGACAGGATTTTGCTCTGTTCCCCAGGCTAAAGTTCAGTGGTAAGATCATGACTCACTGCAGCCTTGACCGCCCAGGCTCAGGTAATCCTAGACCTCAGTCTTCCAAGTAGCTGGAACTGCAGGCATCTGCCACCATACTCGATTTCTTTTTTAAAAAATTATTTGCAGAGATGAAGTTTCACTGTGGCCTAGGCTGCTCTAGAACTCCTGGGCTCAAGTGATCCCCTGCCTTGGCCTCTCAAAGTGCTGGGATTACAGGCCTCAACCACCATGCCTGGCCCAGAGCAATTTCAAATAAAATCATTTATTTGCTTAGAAAGATGGAGATAATGGAATACATAAAAACAGTGGAGAAAAACTTAGGGACCCAAATGAATAATTGACATAAAAATACTGATTCCCTTAATCCAGTCTAATAGTTTTCCATGTGGGATGATATTGTACCCAGACATTTTTGGTTATCACGTCCCATTGTTGCTGCTGGTGTCAGTGGGTAGAAGCCAGGAATGGTGCTAAACGCCCTCCAGTGCACAGGACTGCCCCATAACTAAAATGTCGCGGCCCCAAATGTCAGCAGTACCAAGGCTGAAAAACCCTCCTCTAGTGTATCAGTGGAGGTAACTTCTGAAGTTTAAATTTTTCCTGCTTATTTTTGTGTTATTACTAATTGTATCTGTGATAAGAAAACCTGGATTGTAAATATAGTGTATATTTACCTGTATGGCAATGTCCTACAGGATAAAATTTCGGTCTTTCTATTCTAGTTGTCCCTGGCAAATCTGGAGAGACTCAACCAAGCCCTTTTTCCCCCAAGCAAGAGGAAAATGGAATCTTTGTATCAATGTGGTTTTGATGACACTGTTACGTTTTTACTTAAAGAAAATTGGTTTGAATAAAATGCTTAAAAGTTTGTAATGCAAAACATGTTTCAGTTTTTGATGGAAGTTTCTAATCAAACCCTTTTTAGAAAATCTATCAAGACTCTCAATTTTATTATTAATCTTTGTAATATTTGTGTTTATTTTAAATATTTGAATTATTACTTAATGCAAGGAAATAAGAGGCACTTTATTAGAATTTGACAGTGTTATTAAGAAGGATACACTTAGGTGATAAGGAATCATTTTTGGTGAATAGTCGTGTCCTTTAAAAAATGGAGGAGGATAGGCTCTTTGGGTAAACTGAGGAATGTGGAAAATGGAAGGCCACCACTTAGGTGCCATGGAGAATGTGTGGCATGATCTTGACGTGAAGCATGGGTGTGTCCCCGTAGCTCTGGAACTGAAGGAACTAGGCTCTCAGGCTGACTTAGGCCACAGGGTAGGAGAGGAAGGATTTGAGAAATAGGCAACTCATGGTTAAAGACCTTTGATCAGGACTGGAGGAACAAAGGTTTGTGCATTAGTCCGTTTTCACACTACTGAGAAAGACATACTCAAGACTGGGCAATTTACAAAAGAAAGAGGTTTAATGGACTCACAGTTTCATGCGACTGGGGAGGCAGAAGGTAAAAGGCACATCTCACATGGCAGCAGACAAGAGAAGAGAACTTGTATAGGAAAACTTCCCTTTATAAAACCATCAGATCTTGTGAGACTTATTCACTATCATGAGAATAGCACAGAAAAGAACCACCCCCATGATTCAATTACTTCTCACTGGGTCCCTCCCATAACATGTGGGAATTATGGAAGCTACACTTAAAGATGAGATTTGGGTGGGGATACAGCCAAACTATATCAGTCTGCTTTCCACAAGTATATGCAGTGCTCCCAGTTAAGTTAGGGGTGGATATCCAGAAGCCTAGGAGATTTTGAAGAGGCTTATCCCCTCTCATCTTCCCTCCCAAACCTCACCCCCCATTTTAGGAGATTATCAGGCTGGTTGTCATTCTCTCCCTCTCTCTCTCCCTTTCTGTCTCTCTCTCTTTCTCTCTCCCCAAAAGCATACCTCTCTGATTATTTAGCTATTGGTCTATATACTGGATATACCTATTGTGGGAACTTAAATAGATAAAATACTACTAAACACAAAGAACTAAGTAGCTAGCAAATAATAATTAGATCCAGAATAATCATTCACTTCTCATTTTTAAATCATGTTGTACTGATCCCAGATCTTTTACTTTCTGAGTAGTTGTCCATCACTTTGAGGACTTGTATATGGGCTTGTACTAATTTACTCACACTGTCTTAAATCCTAAATCTGTTTTTATGAGATTTTGCCAAGCATGAACTCTTGATTACTAAGAGGCAGTTAAAGACAAACCAGTTTAATTGCATGTCTTTAATTGTCATGGATTTCTCCTTTTACTCTTTGAAACTATTCTTTGAATCATTTTATGGTTCTCAAAAGTAAAATACACAATTTTTAGCACATAAACACCAAAGATGGCCTCTTTTTGAGGAGTTCTGCACAGACCCACTCTAGAGTAATGATGGTCCCTGTGGTATGTACTTTTTCCTACTCTAGAAAACATGCAGTTTAATCTTTAGCTGTTTCCATAAGTGATATGAAATGGATGGAGTCTCAATTCATTATTATGTCCACTTATTCACCAGATAAACTTTCAGTTTTAATACTTTTCTTCTTACCCCTTCCTTTGATCATTTTATATGGATATTCTATTTGTATGTTACACTGTATATCAATAAATTCCTTATTGATGTACCCTTAAATTGCAGAAATTTAAGGTGCAAAACCAAATCTCATAGTATAAGACTTTTTTGAAGTATCTTGTATCTACTCCATATGTATTTGACCCTGTGGGTGGATGGTACTTTTCTTTTTAACTTTTATTTTAAGTTCAGGGATAGGTGTGCAGGTTTGTTATAGGTAAACTTGTGTCTTGGGGGTTTGTTGTAAATATTAATTCATCACCCAGCTGATGGTATTTTCTTTAAAAATATTGTAAGATCATTGACATATCAGTTGGCAGCAACTTTCTAACAGGGAAATAGAGTGATGTAATGAAACACATACTTGGTATATGCTAGGCATTCTCTGGGACTGGTACACCAAACTCTCCTGTGAGCACACCACCAAGCACGCTCTGCTTATCTTTGCTGGAATGTGTGCTCATGCAGCCATACTAATTGAAAATAGGCATTCACAACAGGATCTGCCTCACTTGTGGGATCAAAATTTTGAGGCATTGTAGAACTGGCATACAGAAAATTTGAAAGGACTTTCTGACCCAGATACTGATATGTTTGCAGGGTAATTACTGTGATTGACGGCTTGATAAATTCCCAATTCCCTGTGGGGGCAATTTCCTTATATCTTTGAATCTGTCATTAGAAATGTCATTAGTCTTCCTTTTCTTCTTTTCAATAACACGCTTTACTTTGTAACTATGGTAACCCACTGCTTCCATTGACGGTTAGAGAAAATAGATTTGGTTTTGAAGTTAAATAATGCTCTAAAGGAGCAAGCCATATATTTAAAAAAGAAAGAAAGAAACCGTTAATTCTGGCTTCCCAATATCAGGTCCAAGGTATGTATACTAGAAGCTTTCAAAGATACAGTCACACCACTCTGGGCATTGAATTTTGATTCTAAACAAGCTTGAACACTCAAAATACACAGATATTAGTGATTAGGCTTTTAATTTTTTTGGAAGACTAAGAAGCATAAATACAATTACATAAAACATGTTTATATTTATACATATTTGTCATAAAAAGTTTTTGGATCCAGTCTATTACTTTTAAAATTAGGGAGCCAATAACTATGGAAGATCAGTGTTTCAGGATTTTTCTTGCCTAAATTTTGTCTACATGATAGCAAAATAAAGTCAAAAGTTGAAGTAATTATCTAAATAACTCAAAGTAGGAAGGAAGACAATTATTGTAGTTCATGAAAAGTGGACAGATTTTTAAACAGTTATCATGATTCTGATTTGCAAATTAACAGTTTCCTTGGGTAGAATTCACCATGTATTTGCTCAGTTCTGCACTTCATTTTTTCTCTCAAAGCTCTGCTTACTTAATGCTAACACATGTGTTTATTTTTCCTCACACATGTCCCCTAACTCAGTATAATTTCCCCATTTGACTGACTTAGAGGGGAAAAATGTGATTTAATTTTTTTCATACTTTACAAAGCATTTCTGAGTACACAGCCACGGACAAATCATAATAATATCACATCCAACTTAATCTTGAATTAAGATAATTTGTGAAAAACATGAATATGAACATACTTGCACATAAATATGTATGTACATATGCACATGCCTAAAACATGTCACAGCAGCTGTATTTTAACTGTGCCAAGATGAAGCAGCATTTATGTAATGCCCAATTTCACTGAGTTTACAAATGCTCTTTAACCTTTATACAGTCAGATCACTTTTGTGGGCAGACCTAGTAGAGTGCATATGAGTACTCTTTTGGAAAGTCCCACAGCTCCAGCCAATCCAAGAATATCAGCCCTCCATTGATGGGCTCAATGGCTTTGCAACATGACCTTACAGCTACGACCAAGCTCATGCTTTTAATTTTTTTTCGGAAGGACCCACCCTGCAGGTGGATCCCTGATTCATAAACTCTCCCTTGCAAGCTTGGACTTGGGCCATTTGAAGAGTGCACTGGGCACTTTTGTGGATCCCTGCCTTCACAGAGCTCAGCTGAGCAACCAAGAAAACAAATGTGAGATAATTTAGGCCACATAAGCAAAGTGAAAGGGCCAGGAAGCTTGAGGAAGGTGCATGGTGGCTGCTTCTCCTTTTATCTGAAAGTAAGATGTGCTGGTGTCTGTTGCTAGCCAAGACAGGAACTTCACTATTACCCCATTACCCACCACTCACCTGGACACCTACCAGTCACAAGAGGACCCCCTGGAGGAGAGGCTCAGGATAACACATGTCCAAATCCTGAAGTTACTCCACGAAGAAGGTAAAATGGTCCAAGGAGTGATCACTAAACTTACTGACACTGCAGACACATCAACACTGGGGATACTTCACAGTGTCCCCAAAACTTGGTTCCTGGCAAGGTCATGGAACTAGGCAACTTAGCTCTACTGATCAACCTCAGTCAGAATTATCTCTTGGCAATTTCGAATCCCAAGGGGTTACTTAGGGTCTATCACTCCCATTGAAGGAAAAGATATGGTCTACTTTGCCATTTCCATTTGCTTCTTCTACTGGCTGAACAGAATCATGGTAATGGATGACCTTATTGTACTTGTCAGGGGGAGATGGATTTGCTGCCATATAATGGGGATAGGAAGGTGCATGAAATTCAGGTAACCCCTCCGGTTATCCAGTCTATGACCAGCACTAGTGGAATAGTTAATGGGAAACCATTGCAACCTTATATGGCAGAAGAAAGGGCACACATCCCTGAGGACCTAAGGTTTGGGTCATGCCACTGGAAAATGGACTCTGATCACCTGACCTGTGCCTGAAAGGGAAGCCACCATGGAACAGAGAATAACTGAGGAAAGCCAATGTCATGTCAGAAACAGTCGCAGCCACAGTGACCTAGGATGGCCAACCTCATGCAAAATAGCTGAGTTTCAGAAGCCTGGTCCCCTACCAGCTGCCAATAGTGGGGACCATTCATATTGTATCCTTCCAGTACCTTCTCTGTGTGACTTAAGATAGCCAGAGTCTATTACTTGCTGCTGAAGGACCCCACTTAGATAGAGTCAATGTACACTTGACCCTTGAACAAAACGGATTGGAACTATGAGGGTCCATGTGGATTTTTTCAGTAAAAATTAGACCAAGTGTGCCTGCCTCTCCTGCCTCCCCTTCCACTTCCTCTACCTCTTCTGCCTCTGCCACCCCTGAGACAGCAAGACCAATCCCTCCTCTTCCTCTACCTCCTCAGGCCAGTCAATGTGAAGACAAGGACAAAAACCTTTATGATGATCTACTTTTACTAAGTAAACAGTGAATATATTTTCTCTTTCTTATGATTTTTAAAAATAATATTTTCTTTCCTCTAGCTTACTTGATTGTGAGAATATGGTGTATAATTCATATAACATACAAAATACGTCTTAATTGACTGTTTATGTTATTGATAAGGCTTCTAGTCAATAGTAGGCTCTTAGTAGTTACGTTTTGGGAGAGTCAAAAGTTATATGTGAATTTTTGACCACAGGAGTAGTGGATTGGGAAGTCAACACCCCTAACCCTTATATTGTACAAAGATGAACTGTATATAAATATCTGTCTTACAACTGGTGAAAAAGCAGATGAGTACTTAACAATTATTAATTTCTTATGTAAAGAATCCCTGTGTAGGGTAGTACAGTTGTGCTTGTTTTAGTGTACCAAAGTCTTTCCTCCTAAAGTAAGCATTAAAAAGATAGGAAACATAAAGGGGCCTTGATTAGGTTGGCATTTACAGATATGCAGCTCTGACATGTATCTATAAAACAGGAGAGGTTGTCATTTGTCTCCCAACTAGGAACCTGGTGCTTAACTAGAACTTATGTGTGCGGTAAAAGAGTAGGAGCGTCCGCTTTCAAACACGACATCCTTCACACTTAGAAACTGAGAAGAGGAGCTGAAGGAGATCAAATGGCACATTTGATCATTCCACATGTGATAATTGATATCACATTATCATTCCCTACATTTCACCATAAAGTTGTTTCTGGCTGAGGGTCTTTGTAAAATCCTCCTCACACACTAAGAACTAAATACATGAATGGATTTGAATTGGTTTTGGTTTTATACTATGTTTTCGGTTGCATGTTATAGCCACCTATGTACTCTAATGTTTGGTACAAGCTTTTCTCCAATGAATTCCAATCTTTCTTCAATATAATCTGTTTTATAAGGTAATCCAATACATATATGCATATATTTTACACATATATTTCCATATGCATATAGGTATACATATGCAAATATAAATATGTAAATATGTACTTATATAAATAAAAATAATGTTTATGAAACACTTTTATTATGTGTATGTTTTTAGAGGTTTTTATTCCATTTTTATTTAAATATTGTCATGGTACACTTAAATAATTTCACAATCACTAATGGATCACACTCTGCAGTTTGAAAGCATTCTAATGCAAATTTAGAACAACACAGACACTGAAATTCTCAATTTGTGTTTAAAAGACTAAAAAAAAACATGGCATACAAAAATAATTAGTACTATATTTGAAATAATTTCTTTTTCTTTCTCCTCTTAAGTCTTAGATATGTCTTATTTAACTTTATGGCTACAGAATGTCTCACAGAAATAATTTCTACTCAAAAGCATGGTTCTTTTCTATTTACATTGTGTTTGACTACCTGGCATAAGTGTGCTACAGATAAAAAATCCTTAGTTTATGTATTTCATCTATTTAAAGCTACCACAATGGTGATAGTAATTCCATGGTGAAATTCTTTAATCAATTAGTTATATAAATCAAAAAGTATTCTTATTTTTTAGCCACATTGTGGACATTCAGATGAAGTAAATATACATGTAAGTATGCAAATACTTTATATCTAACACAGGTCATTGTCACCTTGCAACAATAAACATAAAATCAGTTGGCTAGATTTGCCTTTGAACAATTTAGTATGCCAGGCTACTAGCATGAAAAAGTGCAATTGATTTCATTTTCATCTGTTGTTGTTATTTTATATAACAGCAATGTACAATACATTGTATTTTTAATTGTGTTTTACAATGCCTTCACTATCTCTTTTAGTGAAATATAATTAACTAACTGTTAACAAAGAATGTGTATGGAGTTAGAATATGCAATCAACATTGTAAAATACTTTGCTTAAAGATCTTTCTACAATTCATGTTCTGTATTGATCTAACACATTTGCTTAGTGGCTACAATTCACTGGTTAGCCTCCATATCATCTTAAATGATGTCATTAAATTATTGACTATAACTGGGAAGATTGAGAGGGTACCAATGTAGTTTTATTGTACATTTAAAAATATCAGTGACTTGCAAAATATTCCTATGGATTAGAAGGATCAGAAAGAAAGTATTTAATCATTGCTTTCTGGTCTATTCCATAAATATTTATTGAGAATTTACTATGAGCCAGGATTTGTGCTAGATACTTGATATGTAGATGTGAACAAATAAAGCAGGTTCCTGACTTAATGGAATATTTGTTATACTGGATAAGAAAGCAGTAACAAGTAAATGAGTCAATAACCAAGGTTAAAAATGGGGATTTTATTAAATTACAAAAATAAATAGTCTATTGTTGTATAGACTCATAGGGAAGATGGCCTCACAAAAAGCGTACCACAATCAGTGCCATCCTCACTCCCAATGATATCCTTGCATTAATTCAAAAAAATGATTCTATTTCCTCAAGAGGTTTATTGCCATTTGCTGGGAAGTGATTGCATTTTTGCTATTGTAATGCATATCTTCAATGACTTTGATATGAATGACGCCTGCTCAATCATAATCAGCTACTTTTTTTCTTCTTATTATTTTTTTAATTTTTAGAAACAGGGTCTTGCTCTGTCAGAGGCTGGAGTGGAATGGCATTATGCAATGAATGCATTGCTCACTATAACCTTGAACTCCTGGGCTCAAGTGATTCTCCTGCCTCACTTCTGAGTAGCTGGGATTACAAGCACATGCCACTACACCCAGCTAATTTAATTTTTTTTTTTTTTTTGGTAGAGACAGGGTGTTGCTATGTTTCCCAGGTTGGTCTTGAACTCCTGGAAAGATTCAAGGGATCCTCTCATCTTGGCCTCCCAAAGTGCTGGGATTACAGGATTGTGCCATGATGACCCAGCTGCTGTTTTGAAAACGTTGTTAGAGACATTAGCTCACAGTAGTTTTGTTTTGTCTGGTGGTAGTGGCGCTATTAGGACTGATGTTTAGATTTTCCTTTTGGATTAGTTTAATACGCTTTTGGCACAAATAATGTAGAAACATCAATAATAATAAAAATAATAATAGATTTGAAAAGCCTTTTTTGATGTTGTTGTGGGTAGTGTTTGTAATGCTCCAGGTGCTGTATCGGAGAGATTGACATTATCCCCATACAGTTCTTTTGTAGACACAACACTACCCTTTTCTGGTTTTATTCAGTCAAAGCAGACCATCCTTTTGAAAATGCTCTTCTTTCAATGTGCATGATAGATTAATAATATAGTTACACTCAAGAATAAAAAAGAAGTTTCAATAAAATACCATTCAAAAGCTCACTCACAATCAAATGGCAAGCTTCATTCCGGGTCATGAAGCATGGGAGCATTCCCATTAAATCAGGGGTAAGGCTTATGTGCCTGAAATCTCTGCTATTCCACACACTCTTCTGCAAGACTTAGAAAATGTAGCAACAAAGAAAAAAAAAACTAATAAAATGGAAAAAATACTGGAATCATTACTGTTAGTTGAATCTGCACCATTTTGTAAGCTCCCCGCTATTTTGCAAACCTTGCAAGAATTTTAGTCCAAACTGCACCTTCATGTAAACTCCCCACTATTGTGCAGATCTTGGTCAATGTGAAACATTTTGTGGGGACTCAGGCCATGAGAAACATCCTGCCTAACCACCTGACCACAAAGCAGACAAAGCCCCAACTAAAGAAACATCCCTATCATATCTTGCTCAGCAAAGGTCCAAGGAACACCACGAAGACATCCCACCAGAACAAGGACCAGAACTACCTCATCACAGGAACATCTTATCAATATCCTGCCAGGCAGCAAGTCATAATGCCCAAAACCCTCCCACCCATACCTGTAAGTCCCCCCAGCCTGTAAGCAGCAGTGGGCTCTGGCATTAAACTTGCCCCCCACTTCTGTAGGTTTTATGCTGGACATAAAGCCTGCATTTGCTGTTGAGCTGCCCTCTTTCTGTGTGTGTGTCTTTCTTTAACCCTCGCCTTCCCTTCAAAACCTAATAATTATATTTGTAAATTCTTTTTTTTTTTTTTTTGAGACGGAGTTTC